ATTTGGGAATCTCAAAATCCATTAAGGATAAATAACTTTGTGTACACTATATGAGTGAGTTGTGTAGTATGTGGATTATATCTCATTAAAGCTGTTCTTAAAAAAAATCTTTGAACAAGGATATGAGAAGTTACTATGAGGTGAGGTGGGAGATAATGGGAGGTGAGATATAAGGGAAAAAGATATGGGTTCTAACCAGGCAAGTGAAATTTCCAACGTTGAACCTAAACAACACTAAGAGATTATCTCCTTAAGTTTTGTTCCCTAGGATCCTAGCTGAACCATCCCTAGTACCAGCTCTGGGCTCACATGCTCATAAAATCTAGAAGAGGTTCACTAAATAAATCATCTCCCCTTAGCTGTGGAGCCACGTGCAGAATACAATGAGAGTATCCATGAATAGCCCCTCTGGGTCAGGATCTCTGGGGAAATGAATGGGGCATAAGTGATACTGTTCTAATTAGCTAATTATTAATAAGAGGAAAGCCAGACATTATAGGCATGTCATTTGGGCAGCTTTACCAGAAAGCTGCAATTCTGCACTCCCCAGGGAACCACCAGTCTATTCCCTGCAAAACACTGGGGGAAAGGATCCAACAAAGAAAAGACAGATGCATGCCTAGTAAAGTTGGGATGACATAGGGAAGGCTACTTGCCTGTCAATCACACCTGGGGACAGAGATGGTTGGCCAGAATGGGCATGGCCACTGCAAGCACACGAAAATTTGGGAATACATAATCTCCTAAACAAAGGAGATTCTCAATCCTGTTGCTCCTGGGTCACTCTCTTGGCTTTCTTACATTCGCCCGTATGGCCCATGGCCATGTGGACCCCACATGCAACGCACTAATGGACTGGAGCTAGCTGATGCTGTATTGGACTGTGCCAACACGGAAAAGAAACTCTGGGCACTGGCTCTGATTTTAGCTCTTCTGAAGCCCCAGCTACACTTCTATGACTAGACTGAGGGAAATGGGATTTTGAAAACTCAGGAATTTACTTCCACACAAATTAAAATCACTCATCCTCCCGTGTCTCAGAAAATTCTTTTTTCTTGGGATATCACAAGAAATCCACCCGTACTAGCAACCGGAGGAAAGAAGGCCCTCTCCCCTTCATTAACATAAGGACTACCCAGCTTGAAGTTGAGGAAGCAGAGTTTTAGTCTCCAAAGATTTCCCAGCATAGCACCAAAGTCATCAAACGCACACACAGATCTAAGCAAAAAGAGGGTTGTAAAAATATTGGTTCAAAATAAGTTTTCCAATTGCTTCTTCCAGCTAGAGCACTACCTCCAGGCTGCTGCTTTATAGAAAATCTTGAACAACCATTGGCTCTGCCTCTGAGGACCATTCCAGGCAGTCCCAAAGCCCTAAATAGAGAAGGGCCCCCCAGGACCAATCTGTCCCAAGGAAGTGACTGACCCCACTCTGAGACCTTGGGAAGGGACCTGAATCCTTTCCCTAGTAGTAGGTAGAGTGGACAACAGAGAGAGCCCTCAATCCCTTGCTGGTCAGATCAGCCCAGAACAAACTCCTTCACCTCATTCCCTCCCAGCTGGTCAGATCATCACCCCGGGATGCTCCCCCTGCCTCCATGTCTTCACCCCTGCCCAGCCAGCCCAGGGCCTCACCCACTCCTTGGAAGGACATGAAAGAGAAGACTCCCAGCAGCAGCAGCAGGAGCACAAGCTTGTCCATCTCCATCTGGGATGGCAGGGAGATGCAGGGGGGTGGGGAGCAGGGGAGCAGAGTGGCCAGGAAGGGCTGGATAGGCTCCCTGAGTGTACAGCAGGGAGAGGGCTAGAGATCTGGGCTGAGCTGCTCCTGAGCTGTGGGCGGAAGCTTCCTCTGGCACACTCGCCAGGGGGTGTTTTATTGCTACCCAGGCCCAGGAAATGTTCCCACAGAGCCAACCCACCTGGATACTTCTGAGGATGGAGGGTGTTCTAGGTGCCCCCTCCTGTTCCCTTGAGGCTGCCTCCTCATGAGTAGAGACATGACGCTTGACCAGGTCAGCTGGACCCCTCAACAGTCTGACCCTTTACTCTCTGGACATCCCACCGCCCCAGGCCCAAGAACAGGGACTCTAATGTGGACAGGGCTGTGCTAAAATACCCACATCTTCTGGGTCCAGTGCCTCCTATGACCACCTCCCCCCAGTCCTACAGCCCATGCCTGTTTACAACCTGGGCATGAGCCTAAATGACCCTTTAACTCAGCTCTCCATAACTAATTGTCTCTGTCTTTCAACTGCAAATTCCTGGGAGAAGACTCCCTCTCAGCTCATCTTTTCTGAGCCAGGCCACAAACATTACAGCGGCTGAGCTGGCTGATTCTTTTGCTCATTCAAGGGCACTGGGCACTGGATCACTGGCTTATTTAGAATGAAAGAGATCGGCAGAGGAGAGAGGCAGGGCCTGGGACTCCTCTGGATGTCTTAGCTCCAGAACTCTTCGGAGTTCCACAGTAAATTCTCCATCACTGTATGTTTTGGGACGTGGTGTACTCAGATACAGGTCTGGCTTTGAAGTGCCAGGCTGCTGGACACAGGAAGAGGTTTCCAAAGTAGAACCCAGGGAAGCCAGCCTGAGTGGGACTGGGATATAATCCTGAAAAGCCAACCTTGAGAAAAGGAGGGAAAAGCTGGAGCATTAGGTTTAAGGAAAGAACATTCAGGCTTTAAGGTCCTGTCTCTCAATACTGTGACTCCGGGGGAGGAGGGAGGCAGGGATGTCCCAGGAAGGTGTGATCATTGCAAAGTGGGGTGCTGCTAAACTGTAAACAACTGGCAGGTGATATAGACGACAGCGCCTCTTCCTTTCCACTAATTTCCACGGCTTCTAGCAGCAAAAATCTGACTCAATGTGATCTCATAGCTGTTTCTCCAAACGTACTCCACACGAAAGAAACTACTGATAGCATGTTTTTTCGTGCTTTTCTTTCCTCCAAATGAGCCCAGCTTCTGACCTTGAAATCCTAGTTTTCTTCTCCAAGTCAAGCCAAGGAGGGTAGGCCTCCTCTGCAGCTTCTGTCCTTGGGTGATCCTGCTTTCTCCAACTGACCCAGAATCTTCAGCCAGCCCACTCTAGGGGCTCTCTATCGATTTCCATCCGTGAGGCAGAGAGAAGCCCGGCAAAGGCAATTCATTCATTCCTTCATTCGGGACAAATTTATTATGTGCCTATTTTGTCGCAAACATGCTGCTAGGTACTGGGGATACAACAGTGACTCAGACAGGGACCCTGCTTTCAAGGAGCTTAGAGTCTAATGGAGGAAATGAACATTGAACAAATAATTATAAAGTGATGAGTAATATCTACTCTAGATCCAGCACACAGTGGTAAGAGAGGCAGGCACAGAAGACGTAGATGAAGGCTGGGGACTCTATCACCCAATCCGCCAAAAGTTCCAGCTTTATACCAGCGGGGATGCCTCACTGCATCCGACCCCTCAGCTTGGCTAGCCCCCGGAAAGAAGTTACAGCTCAAGGCACAGCTTCCAACTATCCCTTGCTGATCCCTTTTCTGTGCCCAAAGCATGTAAATTCTCTTCAGTTACCCATTTGAGTTTGCCATCTGCTCCCTGCCAAAACCATATAGACCTTTATGAAGAGACTATTTAGTGAAGCGAGCAGGGCTAAGGGGAAGGAAGGAAGGAAG